CCTCCGCCCCCGCCGGCCCGTCCCGCCGCACACGTGCGCCCGCGCCCCGCCGGCCCTTTGTCTGGGACCGGCACCGGGACCCGCGCCCACCGGCACCCCCTACCCCGCCTCGGCCGCTCGCCCCCCGCTCCGCTATCCCGCTCCCCGGCCGTCTCAGGCCGTATGGCCGGGGAGCGGGGAAGCGGGGGGGGAAGAGGCGGCCCAGCCAGGGGAGCGCATCCCACCGGAGCCGGGGCGGGGGGGAGCAGCTGCCCCGGGACCGGGGGTTGAAGTGGGGGGGGAACGACCCGTCGGTGGCGGCGAGGCCGCTCTAACAGGTGGGATCCCGCTGAGAGGAGGAGGCGGCCGGAGGGGGGCGGAGGAGGCAGGGACGGGCGGGCGGAGGGAGGGAGGGAGGGGGACGAGCCGGAGCCGCCTGTGATCCTGTGACAGGAGCGGCTGCTGCTGCTGCTGGCGCCGCCGGTACCTCCCTCCGGTCGCTGTCCGAGCCCCGGTGCTCCCCCACTCCTCCCCGTTACAGCGGCCGCCACCCCTCCTGCGCCTCTTGCTCCCCGCTCCATCCCGCCCGTCGCCTCCGCAGCCCGTCCCGGGAGCGCCGCTGCCCCTCCGCCCGCTCCGGGACAGGGCGCGGGGCCGGGCGCCGCCGCCGCTGCTGCTACCGCCGCCGTTACCGCCGCCGCCGCCGGTCGGGCGATGCCGAAGCCGCCGTTACTGCTGCGGGGGAGCCGCCCCGGGGACAGCGAGCTGGGGCGGCAGTTCCGGGACTGGTGCCTGCGCACCTACGGGGACTCGGCCAAAACCAAGACGGTGACCCGGAGCAAGTACCAGCGCATCGCCGAGGTGCTGCAGGGGGGAACCGGCTCCGGCGGCGGCTCCGGCGGGGGGGAGAAAGGCAAGTTCCAGTTCTGGGTCCGGTCCAAGGGCTTCCGCCTGGGAAACGGCACCAGGGAGGCGACGAAGATGGGTCAAGTGGTGGTATATGTGCCGGTGAAAACGGGAACGGTTAGTGCGCTCCGTGCCCCGGGGGCTCTGTGTCTGTCTGTCTGCCTGCCTGTCCGTGTCTGTTTGTCCTCCCCGGGGGTGCGGGGGCAGCCGCCGCGCCCCCGCCGCCCCGACCCGCCCGGGATGCGGATGGGGAGAGGCGCCCGCCCGGAGCCTCGCACCTTCCGCTGCCCCCCCGATCCCCATCCCCGTCCCCGTCCCCGTCCCATCCGGTGCTGCCGCCTTCCCCGGGCGCTGCCGGCGCGGGGGAGGTGGGGGGGCGGCAGTGCCCCGCGCCCGCCGCCGTGCACCTGCCCCCGCGGGGGGGCCGCGCCGCCGCCCGGTGCGGGCCCCGCCGCCCCCCCGCCCTGTCCGATCACGTTCGCCCGGCATTTCCCATCCGCCCCACGGCCGGGGACAGGGCTGCAGTCAAGGGCAGCGGGCGGCGGGGAGGGGGCGCCGGCACCCCCCGCCCCCCCGCGCCGCGGCCCCGGCGTCCCGCGGCGCTGCCCGCCCGGCGCGGCCGCCGCAGCCGGTGCCCCGGGGGGTGCGGGCAGCGGCAGAGCCCGGATTAGGGCAGCCCCCCCGCCCGCTCGCGGGCCGCTGTCCCGGGAACTCCCCCGCCGGAGCCTCATTGTTCGGCGCCCGGCCGGCCGGGGAGCGGGGCACCGGCCGCCGCCTCCCTCCCTCCTCCCGCCGCCGCCCGGGGCTGCCCCGCCGCCCCATTGTTCCCGTCCCGAGCGTGTCCCGCTCCCCGGCGCGGGGGGAAACGCGCAACTTTGGCGGCCCCGGCCCCGTGCAGGGAGCGCCCGGCGGGGCTGCCCCGGCTCCGGCCCCGCGCCCCCCGCCATCCCCCGCGCCCCTCTCCGCCCCGCCGGGACCGCGGGCACCGGAGGGCTCTGGCAGGGATTTTTTTCCCCCTGTCCCTCCCCGCCTCTCCCGCTGCTGCTGCTGCTGCCGCTGCTGCTGCTCTGAAGGGTGCAGTGTTTTCTGTGCACACAGACTCCAGCATTGATGTGGCTGGAGGATGCTTCCATTGAGGGCAGCCCATCTGTGGCAAATGCTTCTAAACGCACTATTTACCTCCCATCTGGTCCGCCTGATTATTGGGGGGAGGGGGAAGGGTCATTATTTCTCCCTCTCCCTTCGTGGTGCTCAGAGGATCCTTTCTTTCTCCCCTCTCAGCCCCCCTCCCCCATGCAATGCCCCAAAAAAATTCTTTGCAATTTTTTTTTTTCTTAAGACCTCTTAGCAGCCCTCCTCTATCACTCCCCCTGTGCCAGGAGCCCCTGAGGAGGGCGGATTAGGAGCTGTACCCCCTTCCAAAGATCCTGCACTCCCTCCCGGGTCCTCTCCATGCAGTCAGCGACTCTATCCCAGATCTTCCAAATGCTGCAGAGTCATGGTACCCCAGAGAGGCCGAGCCAGACTCCCTCGACCCCGCTGCTCGCTAGATGCCCCCTCCCCTTTGTCCGGGAGGGAGTCCCCAGGGTCAGCGGCTCAGCCAGGCCGGCACAAGCCCGCATATTCCCAAAGGGCCTCTGCACAGATGAAGTTTCAGCGAGGAGCATGCCTAGGCCCCCGCATCTTCCCTGGCAGAGTCCCTGCAGGCTACAGACAGGCGTTACACCCAGACTCCCCTAAACCAGCAAACAGAAGCAGATATACCCTAGGGGACAACCGAATTTTCCAAGGGGTAATATAGCTTATTTCCCAGTGCCTAGATGCCAGCCAGATATTAAGACTGGGAGCACTTTGCAGGGCCACTGCAAAGGGAGACCAGTCATCACAGTCCCCAAAACCTTCCAGAGTGAGGTCTGTAGAAGTTGTTGCCTCCTGCTCCTTTGGTCCTGGCCTCCCAGGTCCCCCCCTCATCCAGGAATCCTGTGGACCCTTTCAGATGGGTGCAGCTGAGAGTTTGGTTTTGCCTGAAGTGGCTCTCAAATTTAGAGATAACTTGTCAGGGATTTTCTTCAGCTCCTTGTAATTCAGTGCTCTCTGCATCCTTGGTGGTTTGGGCTGGGTTTGGGGTGTATTTCCTTGCTCTCAGGCACACAGTCAAATAATTCAGGAAGCTGATATGAGGCTTTTGCTGGACAGTAACGCCTGGATTCTGGTTTAATGTCTGTTCAGCTGCTTTTCCCAAATACTTCTGGAGCGGTGTTTTGGTTGCTTTCCCCTGGCTGTGCTCCTCAGCAATCTGATCCCGCTCGTCCTGTCCGCTCGCCCTTCCCCAAGCACATCTGCCGGGCCAGCACCGTTCTGGGGATGTCCCCTGCTGCAGGGACAGGCAGAGCCCCCACCCCGGCTGCAGTGAGGGGGTGGCAGGGGGTGTATCTCGCTCTGCTCTCACTGCAGGATGCTACAGGAAATCCAAGGGACCAGGAGGGAAAGCTGGAAAAGAGGTGGTAAAGAGTGCGTAGAGGGCAGCAGTGGGGATAAGATTTCCTTTCCCTGACAGGGCTGGGGCCACTCCTCCTCTGGAAAATAATAATAATAATGACAACCCCAAATCCCCAAAATAATCACAACCTGCCCCCCCCCAGCTAGCCAGTTGAGCTGTTCCTTTTGGCTTATGCACCCTGAGCTGGTTTGTGTATTTTCTGCGCATCTGTAGTGAAAAATTAATTAACATGTGGTTATTATTTTCTCTCCTGAGTAACTTTCCCTTGCCCTCCTCCAGGCCTCTCATCAGAACAGGCCTAATCAGATTTGGGTGGCTTGAGAGCAGGGACTGTGCACTGAGAAGGGGGCATCTGCCTTAGGTGGTGGTCAGAGCAGATGGTGGTCTTCTCAAAGAATGCACTGGGAATAGGAACAGCAGTGCGGACGGATGTCTGGCACAGAGACTGTTCACATTTCTTTTTCCCAGATGAACGTCCCAAAGATGCTGGACGTTTAACACATACAATTAAAAAAGCCCTACGCAGATAAACACAGGCAGTTTAGTGGTGTAGGACATTTTTGCCTGACAGCCCTATTCACACATGGGCTGGACTCTGCATCCTTTAGGTCAGGGTATTGGAAAAAAATACATTTAGGCTGTACTGAAGAGGAGGAGGAAGGGTATCTTTGTGTGCTGCTGCAGCACAGACAATGGATACAGCCCAAAGTGCTCAGATCTGCCCTTCTTTCCTATGGCTGACACACTCTAAGGTGTGAACCCCATCATTACCCATAGGCTGGACCAAATCCTGGCACTGGATGGGCAGCACTCATCCTTCTCCCCATCTTTGCTAAGAACTGTGGGAGAATTTATCCATGACAAGGTGCTAAGATGCAGTTCATTATAATCTCATGTCCCTCTTGTCCTAAGCATTTAGCATCATTTAGACAGTCTTTCCCAGACAAACGTGGAGCGAGATGGAGCCAGGGTGCAGGGAAATGGACAGCGCTCGGTGACAACCGGCGGAGCAGATGGCTGTGGCCGGAGCAGCGGGTGTGCAGGGGAGGGCTCTCCTCAGACTCGGGCTCGGGCGTTAGCTGCTCTCTAAATCGATGCTGTACTTGGCCGTGTGTGGTGGGAGCTTGTCACAACTCCAGCGTGGCGGCCAGGACAGATCGGTGCTGGCAGCCCGTGGTGCAGGCTGGGGGGCTGCGGGAGGAGCAGGGGAAGCCTGGCGTCAGCCCGGCCCTTCGGGGGCTGTGCGGAGCCGTGGGGACCAGGCAGGCTCTGCAGCACTGCCCACGTTTGATTCTGCTTTGCTGCTCTCTCCCCGTCCCCCGCAGCGCTGACATGAGGCTCTGGGGCTCTGTAGGCATCGCTGACAGGATCAGGGCATTGCTCAAGTGGGTTGCTGCTCTTGTACAGGTACAGCTCACCTGTGCCAGCTCCCCTGGAGCCAGATGTTCAGAATTATTTCACGATTTTGCCTGGTGAAACTCATCCGAGGAACAGTGGTGGGGTGGGGGGAGCACTGGAAATACAAGTGGTGAGTCCAAAATGCAAAATGCTTTAGTGGACAGCAGGAAAACTATCCCACGGGACAGCAGATAAATCTCACAGCACAGCCTCTCCTTAAATTTGTTTTAGCTCCAGAGACAGGGAGTGTTGTGCTGTGAAAGCTGCGGTGCCAGGCCGTGGGACAGCACAGCACAGTGGCAGAATGCCGGAGCTGAGGAGCCAGGCATGTCAGAAAGATGCTGCTTCAACAGCTAATAGAGGCTACATTTTTCCTGATACAAGTACCCTTCAATGCCCATATTCAGTGCCCCAAAAAGCTGCACATCTATAACCTCTAAGAACATCAGTCAACAGAAGGTTTTCACGGCGTGAATAACCACTCAGACTTTCTGGGGACTTCAAGTGATAAAAAAAATAAATCAAGACCATTCAGAAGAGCCTTAGACAAGGCAGATGGGCCTGAGGGTATTATCTGAGAAATTGTCTATTACTCCCATTGCACCAGCCTTACTTAGAGCATGCAGAGCTTTCACCTGTGGAGATCCCACCCTGAGCACATGGGGCACCACCGGCTTTTCCAAGGAGTGGAACCAATGGCAGGTTTACATTTAAATGTGCCCTTAGGAGATTGGAACAATTCTGGCCTGGGTGTATGGTCCCATTCAACCCCATCTAAAGAAAATCTCCCACATTAGCATCCCCTCCAGATTTGGCTCCAAATTTGCACAGCATCAGCAACAGATTTCACATCTGAAGCTGCTTGTGGTAAGAGTCACAGAGGGCAGTGACACCCAATCCCCTGGGCCCAAGAGCTGGCTTAGCCTCACCAGGCAGTAGCTAAAGCCTTAGCAAGGTGAATTTAAAGAGCTCTGATGATCTGCAGTTACACAGACTGGCAGAATGAAGTTCCTCTCTCTGGGAGCAGATCGGCCTGCTCACTCCCATTCTTTCAGGACAGCCTGCTGAAGCCACTTCTAATAAGGGGGAAACCAGCATCTCATTCAGTCCTTGCTTGATTTCTGCCAGGCCTACAAGCCTGATTAAAGGCAGTCCCCCTGTGGTTGTTAGTACAGTGTCCCAGCCCCAGAGATCCCACCATCCCAGCCACCCTCATCCT